AAAGAAAAACAAGACAAAAACAAACAAACAATGCTTAATTTTTGCCAGGTGCAGTGGCTTATGCCTGTAATCCCAGAACTTTGGGAGACTGAGTCAGGAGGATCACTTGAGGCCAGTTCAAGACCAGCCTGGGAAGCAGCAAGAGCCTGTCTCTACTGGGACAAAAAAAAAAAAGGTAATAAATAAAATGCTTAATTTTATATTATGTCGATTTCACCTCAATTTTTAAAAAACTGGAAAATGTAATTCAAATATTTAAGGAAAAACATGTGAGCCAAATGGATTCAGGCCGCAGGCTGCATCTGAACCCCTGGGGTACCAGTTTCTAAGTTTGATATGGGGCTTACAGTCAGCAGAGCTGCAGGATTAGGAACTCTGTTTTACTGGCAGGGAAACTGAGACTCCAAAGAGGTAAAGTAATGGGATCAGAGTCAAGCACAGGAGCTGGGGCTGAGCCCCAGAGGGTGGTCTCCCAGCACAATTGATCCTGTGCTCCCTGCAGTTGGGGCCAAGGGCTGTGGAAAGCATTAGAAAGGCGGCAGCTATTAAAGCAGGTGGCAGATGGAGGATGCTTGGAAGTTCAGACAAGAACTGTGCATCGAAGTCGGGTGCGGTGGCTCATGCCTGTAATCCCAGCACTTTGGGAGGCTGAGGTGAGCGGATCACTTGAGGTCAGGAGTTCAAGACCATCCTTGCAAACGTGGTGAAACTCCATCTCTACCAAAAATATAAAAACAAAAAATTAGCTGGGTGTGGTGACTCATGCCTGTAGTCCCAGCTACTTGGGAGGCTGAGGCAGGAGAATCACTTGAACCCAGGAGGCGGAGGTTTCAGTGAGCCGAGATCGTGCCACTGCCCTTCAGCCTGGGTGGCAGAGTTGAGACTCCATCTCTATAAAAAAAAGAACTGTGCATCCAGATCTCCTTGGAGTTGTTACCTCCTCTCACACAAGGCCCAGAAAACTCTCTCTCAATTGAAACCCATTCAGCAAGGCTGGATTGAGTATGTACTGTGCATGTGGCAGGCACCACGTGAAATTAATAAAAGTAATAAGTGCAAAGGCTTAAGGGTTCACCCTGTGCAATGCACATTCTGTTGAGACCTCCTCTGATGCTCAGGGTAATGCTGTGAAGTGGAAACAGCGTTGCCACATGGATTGCATGCACACATTTAACTTTTATACCATGCATGCATTTAACTTACATAATGCATGCATTTAACTTACACAAATTCAACTAACTGCAGTTGGCCAAAAGGAAAGGAGAAAAATCCTCATTGAAAGGGGGTAGACCTGTTGTGTGCCCGTGTGAACTTGCCACACAGGAAGCATGGAAATGGAATATATGGATCTGTTCTCATTGTCTCCAATCCTGACAACCTTTCCTAGAATGAGCAGCTCTCTGTGCTGAGCAGGATTCTAGCTGAGGATTTCTCAGCCTTGGCACTACTGACATTCTGGGTTGGATAATTATTAGTTGTGGGGACTGTCTAGTGTGTTGGAGGATGTTTAGAGGCATCCCTGGCCTCTATCCACTAGATGCCAGGCGCATTTATTCCTACCCCTAGTTATGACAACCAAAAATGTCTCCAGGAACTGCCAAACATCCCCTGAGGGGCAAAATCGCCCTGGCTGAGAATCAGTCATCTAGAGTTTAAAATGTGTATTTACTGGTGCTCAACTAAGGAGCAGGATTGGAGGTGGGGGGTGGGGAGGATGGGAGGTGGGTAAATGGCTGCATTATGATGATTGTATTATTGTTACAGGAAAGGGGTCCCAATCCAGACCCCAAAAGAGGATTCTTGGATCTTGCACAAGAAATAATTCAGGGCGAGTCCATAGAGTAAAATGAAAGCAAGTTTATTAAGAAAGTAAAGGAATAAAACAATGGCTACTCCATAGACAGAGCAGCCCTGAGGGCTGCTGGTTGCCCATTTTTATGGTTATTTCTTGAAGATATGCTAAACAAGGGGTGGATTATTCATGCCTCCCCTTTTTAGACCATATAGGGGAACCTCCTGATGTTGCCATGGCATTTGTAAACTGTCATGGCGCTGGTGGGAGTGTAGCAATGAGGACGACCAGAGGTCACTCTCATCACTATCTTAGTTTTGGTGGGTTTTAGCCAGCATCTTTACTGCAATTTGTTTTATCAGCAAGGTCTTTATGACCTGCATCTTGTGCTGACCTCCTATCTCATCCTGTGACATAGAATGTCTTAATTACAGGGAATGCAGCCCATTTTACCCAGCTCCTATTCAAGATGGAGTTGCTCTGGTTCATACGCCTCTGATATTATGACAATTTGCTGACACTTGTGGCTGTGCCATTCCTTGTGGAAGGGGGCAGAGTTAAGGGATTTTCACGGAAATGTTTTCCTTCACCTCGACTTTAGAATCTAGTACCCATATACACTCGCTGCAACTCAAGTCCCACAGGTGGGAAAATGGGGGCCCCAGGGAGTAAGTCATTTACCCAAGGTCTCAGAGCTCATGAATGACAAAGAAGAGATTCAAGCCCGATCTATTTTACTAGGAAACCGGCTCCCTCCCCCCGCCGCCGCCCCTTTTTTTCTTCCCCTTCTCTCATTGTTTTGCCTTCCTATCCACAAGAGGGGTCAAAGGGAAATCAGCATGCCAGAAGGTAGAGTCTCATCAGACTCTCCACTACTGCAGGTGGCACTGAGAGTTAGCCGCCTGCCCCACAGTTCTGGATGAGGCCACAGGTAAATTCAGATTCCAGAGGTTTATGAAGCTGGTATTACTTAGGACTTTTCTAGCTGCAAGAGACAAAAACCTAATTCAGACTAGCTCAAACCAAAAAGGAACCATATTGACTCACATAACTAGCAAGTTGAAGGGGTGATGGCTTCAGGCGTGGTGAGGTCAAGGGGTTCAAATGGTCATCAGGACATGATCTCTCCATTTTTGGTTTCATCTCTGTTAGCTTCATTCTCTGAACAACTCTTCCTTCCATTATCCAAAGACAGCCAATGGCAGCACTGAGTGTAAAACTTGACCTTTTAGAAATCCAGCAGAAAGATTTCCTCCCTCCTAAGAGATTCATCCAACATTCCTGAAATTCACTCGATTGTCCCAGCTTGAGTCCCATGGATGTTTCCAAAAATGAATCACTATGGCCAGGGGCATATGAGATCCCATGATCAGGCCTGGGCCACCTTCTCAATTCCAGAGTTTGAGAGTAAGTTGAGCCCCAAATCTTACGGAAAAAAGAGTGGAGGAGGAAGAGTAGTATTCTGTGGCCAACCTAGAAAACCACAGAAATTCCTCCCACCTACTGCTCAGGCCTGTGGGAAACTTGTAAGACAGAGTCCCAGTCCGTGTGAGTGGCGAGTGGAGGCATCTTGGGAGGGGCCTTGCAAAGGCAAAGCCAGGCTGGCTTGGTGGAGTCCTTTCCAGAATCCATCTGCTTGTGTAAAGCCCAGCAGAGGCCACCTTCAGCCAGCCCTCCCACATACTGGTGAAAGTGTTGTTGTTGTTGTTGTTGTTGTTGTTGTTGTTTGAGACAGGGTCTCACTCTGTCACCCAGATTAGAGTGCAGTGGTACAATCTTGGCTCACTGCAACCTCCACCTCCCAGGTTCAAGCAATTCTCCTGCCTCAGCCTCCCGAGTAGCTGGGATTACAGGCACGTGCCACCATGCCCGGCTAATTTTTGTATTTTTGGTAGAGATGGGGCTTCACCATGTTGGCCAGGCTGGTTTTGAACTCCTGACCTCAAGTGATCCGCCCACCCCGGCCTCCCAGAGTGCTGGGATTACAGGCATGAGCTACAGAACCTGGACTTAAAGTGATTTTTAAAAAGTGCTGTGTGAGACTTCCAAATGCTACTCACAGGGAGGGAAGTGAAAGAAGGAGAGGACTGGGGAAGAAATACCTTCTATTTTTTTTTTCTTTTCTTTTTTTTTTTTTTAGAGACAGCATATTGCTCTATCACCCAGGCTGCAGCCTGGACCTCCTGGGCTCAAGGGATCCTCCCACCTTAGCCTCCTTGTGTAGCTGGGACCACAGGCATGCACCGCCACACCCAGCTAATTTTTTTTTTTGTAGAGATAGGGTCTCTCTATGTTGCCCAGGCTGGCCTCAAACTCCTGGGCTCAAGTGAACCTCCCTCCTCGGCCTCCCAAAGTACTGGGATTACAGGGGTGAGCCACCTCACCTGTACAGCTTCTTTGGAGAATGGGCCTGGGCAGGTAAAACAGGGGCCACTCTACACCATCATGGCACAGCAAGAGCTGGGCTATGTAGGTTCAGTACACTTTGTCATTTAATTCTTATGACAACCTCCTGTCATCATTGCTGTTTTACAGATAAGGAACTGACGCTCAGAGAGGTTCCATGTCTCGGCTAGCATTTCACTTACACCTGAGCAAAGGCTCTCTTTGTCCAGAGACAACGTGCCTTTCGGTGACAGAGCTAGGACTGGAACCCAAGTCTATCCGACTCAAAGTCCACAGCTTGTCCCCCATCCCACAGGGACCTCTCCAGGCTAGTGAGCCCCATGAAACCTCCTCAGTGCTTCGTTCCAGTCTTTTAACTTCAAGCCCAGTCAGCGAGTTCTTTATTTCCACAAATGGTGCCATTAAACTAATGGCTTCGGGAACTGTAGGCTGGCCTCGGCACAGTTACACATCCCTCCACCCGCCATGTTCTGGCTTCCAAAGAAATGCATGGGAAATTCCAGGAGCCGAAGCCCACTTGGACACGTTTCCGGGCCACCATTTTGCTTTGGGATGGGCAAAAAGAAACACACACCCTGAACTTGAACTCCTCTTTGTGCAGCCTCCAGCCGGCCGGGCGCTAAATAGGGCCGCGGCCCGTTTCCTCCTTCAAAAGTCCCTTGTAAAGGGCGGTAGCAGACCCCATCAGACAAAAAGCTGAGAAACCGGGGTTGAAATAGAGGCCTCTTTCTGTTTGGTCAATCAGCAGCTGCAAAGGATGCGTAGGATGGAGCTAAATTTATTTGTTCCTTTCTTTCTCGGCAACAGCGACGAGGCCCGAGGTGCAGCTGTCTCGCCTCGCCTGTCTTTTGCAGGCACCGGCAGGCACAGAAGATGGCTCTCCGGGAGGAAGATTCCTTTCCATTTTGTTCGCTCTCTGCCTCCGCAAGGCTCCCAGCCACCTCTAGGGAGTACAGGGCGAGATCCTGTGCCAGCGGGTAGGAATCTGTAGCTGCCTCCCAGCCCCAGGGTGGAAATCATGACCTTTGAGAAGCAGGCAAGCTGCACGGCATAGATACTCAGGCCTGGTGAAGGCGAAGTGGGGCCACACCCTGGAAAACCACAAAAGTCCCCACAGCCTCTGCTTTCACTCGTCAGACCTGTGGGAAACTTGTAAGACACAGTCCGTGTGATCGGCGGGTGGGGGCATGTTGGGAGGGGCCTTCCGAAGGCCGAAGCCAGGCTGGCAGGGCAGAGTCCTTTCCAGAATTTATCTGTTTGCTTAAAGCCCAGCGGAGGGGCCACCTTCAGCCAGCCCTCCAGCACACTGGTCCTAGTAGTTTTTTCAACGTGCTTTGTGAGACTTTCAAAAGGTACCCATGGGGAGGGAAGTGAGAGGAGGAGGAGGGGACGGGGAATAAACAGCTTCTTTATTTCTAGCTTTGCTTGAATGGCTTCTTGACGGTTACAGCTCCAGTTTTGCTGAGTCAGAAGAATCCCACAGCCGCTCACCGGAAACACAGCTGTTGAGCGAAAATAACCACAGAGCTGAGCATCATGCACCTTCCAGAAAAGATGGCAGAAAACCTCAAAACAAAAGAGAAATACAAAACAATAAGAGACACTGTCAAGAAAAAAAAAAAAAAAACCACCGCAGCTCACTAACTGATCCAAGCTGGTGGCGCTCTCCTGATCTCTCTCCACTCCCAGGCCAAGCAACCACTCTGAAATAAAGCGAAGTTTGGCTGCTTTTATTTACACACACATATGTGTGTGTGTGTGTGTGTGTGTGTGTGTGTGTGTGTGTGTATATATATATATATATATATTTTTTTTTTTTTTTTTTGATAGAGTCTTGCTGTGTCTCCCAGGCTGGAATACAGTAGTGTGATCTCGGCTCGCTGCAACCTCTGCCTCCCAGGTTCAAGTGATTTTCCTGCCTCAGCCTTCCGAGTAGCTGGGATTACAAGTGCACTACCACGCCCAGCTAATTTTTGTATTTTTAGTAGAGTCGAGGTTTCGCCATGTTGGCCAGGCTGGTCTCGAACTCCTGACCTCAAGTAATCCACCCACCTCGGCCTCCTGAAGTCTTGGGATTACAGGTGTGAGCCATCACACCTGGCCTACTTTTATACTGTAGTGGGTTTAATCGTGTCTCCCCAGTCACACCTCCACCAAAAAAAGAAAAGCTATGTCCACAGTCTAATGTGCTCCAGCACCTGTGAATGTGACCTTAATGAAGAAAGGATCTTTGCAGGTGTAAATTAATTTTAGGATCTCAAGATTAAGTCATCCTAGACTACATGGGTGGATCTCAAATCCAATGACAGGTATCCTTATAAAAGCAAGGCAGATCCAGCTTGGGCAACGTAGTGAGACCCTGTTTCTACAAAAAGTTAAAAAAAAAAAAAAAGGCTGGGCATAGTGGCTCACACCTCTAATCCCCGCATCTTGGGAGTCCCACGTGGGCAGATCACTTGAGGTCAGGAGTTCAAGACCAACCTGCCCAGTGTGGCTTAACCCCATCTCTACTAAAAATACAAAAATGAGCTGGGCATGGTAGTGCATGCCTGTAATCCCCGCTACTTGGGAGGCTGAGACACAAGAATCACTCGAACCTGGGAAGCAGAGGTTGCAGTGAGCTGAGATCGTGCCACTGCACTCCAGCTTGGGCAACAGAGCATGACTTCATCTCGGAAAAAAAAAAAAATGCTGTGGGGGAGAGTGGTGTGTGCCTGTGGTCCCAGCTACTTGTGAGGCTGAGACAGGAGGATCTCTTGAGCCCAGAAGTTCGAGGCTGCAGTGAGCTATGATGGCACCACTGTACTCCAGCCTGGGTGACCAAGTGAGACCCTGTCTCAAAATAAAAAGAGTGTGGCAGAGGTAGATGGATAGATTAGACACACAGAGAGGAACGCCAAGGGGAACTTGGAAGCAAGGATTGGAGTTTTGCAGCTACAGACCAAGGGTGTTAGGGCACCCATAAGAAACTAGCAGAGCCGCCCTGGGCTTCTGTTTACCAGGTCCTCCCCTGGCCATCTCCTTCCCCTTGTCTGGGCTGAAAACATTCACAGCATCTTGTTGGCACGGACACCAAGTTTCCCTTTCTCCAGACTTCGTAATGATCAGGAAGCAGGATGGGGCCTTGAGGACTCCTGAGACTAAGGGAGGAGTCGAGGGTCCCTGGTTGTAGATAAGTCTCGGCCACAGGCCAGGAGTGTGACCTCATTAACCAGCCACCATTCACTGAGGCAGCTGGATCCTTGTTCTGCCCCTTCCTAGCTGTGTGGACTGGGGTAAGGTATTTACCCTCCCTGGGCCTCTGTCTCCTCATTTGTCCAATGGGGATAATTAGAAAACTTCCCTTACACAGTTGTTGTAAGGATGAAGCGAGTACATGCAAAGCCACTATTGAACGAGGCTGGACTCTGTGGTTCTTACTGTCCAGTGCTTTATGCAAGCGTAGAAAAGCTGTTGTTTTTCCCTGTCAGCATCTATGACACTATCTTTTGCTGTCAGCATCCTGGTTGCCTTCGGGAAACCATCTCTCTTCCACCCCCTCATTCCAGGAGAGTGTATATCTCCCAGACCTGACCAATCAGACTCAGAGCTCAGTTCAGGAATGGGGATGTGATCCAAAGTGGGTCCGTCGGAGTGAATAGTTGCCAAAACTTGTAGGGAAAAGAAATTCACTTTCTCTTGGTTCCACTATGTGGTGGGATATGAGCGTGGAGCATCTCTGCTGCTACCTAGGGAGAGGCTGCCTGAGAGTGACACCAAAACCCCAGAAAGCAGAGATAAGGGATAGTGGGAGAGTCCTGACAACAATATTTGTATCCCTGGATCCAGCTTTGACTGAAACCATCCGTAGCTCTAAACTCGCAAGTTCCGTGAAACAATAAATCTTCTTTATGTTTAAGATAGTTTGAGTTGATCCCTTGTAAACAAAGGCATCCTGACTCATTCGATGTCTTATGTGATAATCTGAGCAGGAGGTAGACCTCTTATCCCTATTTTATGGGAAGAAACTGAGGCTCAGAGGAACTTAATCACTTGTATGAAATCACTAGTAAGTCCAGGGCTGTCATCTGATCCATATAGCCCTGGGAAGGCAGAACAATGATGTGTTTGGTGCATGCCTTGGGATAGTCACATAAATCTCAAGGCTTCGAGTGGTCAGTCTGTACCATAAAAGAGTTGGTATAGTTTTAAACTTTTAAACGTATAGCCGATTACAGAAGTAACCATGACAATTAACCATGTATTTGCTCTCCATAACTGACAAATGTTGGCGTTTTGTCACAGTTGTTTCAGAGATGAGCTGGTGTCTGAAATACTATATAGCTCCTTGTTTCCGTGTCTTGATTCTGGATTCTAAAACACCTGGAAAGTCTGACTCGGCAAAACTTGAAAAGATTTCAAAGATACAGAAGCATTTTATATCTATTCACTTACTGATGATTTCTGGCATTCTTCATTTCTTAAATAGATCTGAGTTTTCACCTTGTATTATTTTTGTTCAGCCCAAAAGAGAACTTTTTTTTTTTTTTTTTTGAGATAGAGTTTTGCTCTTGTTGCCCAGGCTAGAGTGCAATGGCGCGATCTCGGCTCACTGCAACCACTGCCTCCCAGGTTCAAGCGATTCTTCTGCCTCAGCCTCCCGAGTAGCTGGGATTACAGGCCTGTACCACCACACCCAGCTAATTTTGTATTTTTTTAGTGGAAGCAGGGTTTCTCTATGTTGGTCAGACTGGTCTCAAACTCCTAACCTCAGGTGATCCGCCTGCCTCAGCCTCCCAAAGTGCTGGGATTATAGGTGTGAGCCACCACACCTGGTAAAGAACTTCTTTTTAATATTTCATATGGTATAGGTCTACTGGTAATAAATTCCACCACTTTTTGTTTGTCAGTAAAACATTCTTTCATCTTCATTTAAAAAATATATTTTCACTGGACACAAGACTTTTGGTTGACAGTTTTATTTTTATTTTCAAATGTAATGCATTAAGGGTGTTATTCCATTGTCTTCTGTGTTGCACTGTTTCTAAGGAGAAATCAGTGATAATTCTTATCTTCGTTCTTTGTATGTAATATGTCTTTTTACCTTGACTGCTTTTAAGATTTTTGTCTTTGTTGCTGGTTTTAAACAATTTGATTAAGATAGGCCTTTATGTTTTTCTTTGTGTTTATCTTGCCTGGGCTTTGTTGAGCTTCTTGGATCTGTAACTTCATAGTTCTTATCAAATTTGGAACATTTTTAGCCATTATTATTTCAGGGTTTTATTTTCATCCTCTCCTCCTGGGACTGCAATTATTCGTAGGATAGATCTTCTGTTATTTTTGCATAGGTCCCTGACACTCTGATTATTTATTTTTTTGGCTCTTGTTTCTCCTTGCTCTTTAATGTGAATAACTTCTATTATTATGTCATTGGATTTGCTGATTTTTTTTCTTCTACAGTCTTTAATATGCTGTTAAACTCATCTAGTAAATTATTATTTTATTTTTTAAGAAATGGGATCTTGCTATGTTGCCCAGACTGGCCCCAAACTCCTGGGCTCAAGCAATTCTCCCACTTCAGCCTCCAAAGTAGCTGGGACTAAAGGTGCATGCCACCACACCCAGCAAATTTTTATTTTAGATATTGTATTTTTTTATCTCTAGAAGATACATTTGATTCTTTTTTTATATCTTCCACTTTTCGCCATGTTTATATTCTTTAGATCTATGAACATATTTATAATCACTGTTTTAAAATCTTTGTCAGTTAATTACATCATCTTTGTCATTTGGGGTCTGTTTATATTAACCAATATTTTTCATGTAATGGGTCACATTTTCCTGCTTCTCTAGATGTCTAGTAACCTTTTATTGGATGCTAGACAATGTAGATGCTGTGCTGCTGAATGCCTGAGTTTCATTATTTTCCTTTGATGTTTGTTTTGGGAGGCAATTGAGTTACTCATTGACCAGCTTGATTTTTTTTTTTTAAGGCTTGTTTTTAAACTTTATTGCAGTGGCTCTAGAAAAGCTTCTTATCTAAGACTGGTTTAGGCCTACAAGAAAGGTGTAGCCTCACAGTGGTCTCTAATGAATGCCTTGGATGTTCAACAAATTATTCCCATTCTGGCTTGCTGAGATTTGAATGTCCCCCAGTCCCATGAGAGCTCTTGGAATTATTCAGCTTATACCTCTCCAATAGCAGTTCCTTGACAGCCTTGTATCATTTTGCCCAATATCTGAGCAACTTAGTATTTAGCCAGTGACTCCAGTGGTCCTTTATGCAGATTTCTGGCACTATGTGTCCATATAACACCATCTTCCCTGGGACTTTGCCTCACAGATTTCAACCATATTATAATCCACATATTATAATCTCTCTCTTCAACTCAGAGAGGCCACTGTGCTCTTCGTGGGATCCTCCTCCCTGTGCTGCAGTCTAAAAAACACTGCCAGGCAGAAAGCCAGGGTGATCACAGGGCTCACTTGATTTGCATCCTTTCTTTCAGGCCTCATAGTTCTACACTACCTGTGGCCCAATCTCTGAAAACAGTTGTTTTATATCTTTTGTCTGGCTTTCCAGTTGTATACAGCTGGAAAACAACTTTGTTACCAATTCCTTCATCATGGCCAGAATCAGAAGAAGTTCACCCTGATAACTTAAGAAAGAAAGATGTAAAATAGGAACACATTGGAAGGGCCTAGGGGAATTCACCAAAAAGAAGTAATAGCCAAAGAATAGTCCTCAAAAGGGACAGAGACCA